ACATTCTGTTTTTCACTTCCAGTACAGTATTCAATAAACCACCTGAGAGCTGGGCATGGTGACGCTTGCCTGTAATCCCAGCTACTCGGGAGGCTGAAGCAGGAGGATCACTTTGAGCCTAGGGATTGGAGATTAGCTTAGGTAACATAGTGAGACTCTGTCTCAAAAATAGCCAGGTGTGGTGGCACAAGCCTGTAATCCCAGCAGCTCCAGAGGCTGAGGCAAGAGGATTGTGAGGTCAAGGCCAGCCTTAGCAACTTAGCAAGAGCCTAAGCAACTCAGTGAGACCCTGTCTCTAAATGAAATACAAAAAAGGGCTGGGGATGTGCCTGAGTGGTTGAGTGTCCCTGAGTTCAATCCTCAGTATCAATAAATAAATAAATAATAAATAAATAGGGCTGGGGATGTAACTCAGGGTTAGGGTGTTTACTTTCCGTACACAAGGCCCTGGGATGATTACTCATAACCATACACACAGAAAAAGGGAAGAAAATAATAAACAAACAAACAAACAAATAAATAAATAAGGAGTATGACTCAGTGGGAGAGCATTTGCCTAGCATATGCAGGGCCTTGGGTTCTATCCCCAGGACTACAAAAATTAAAAATGAATAAATAAATAAAATGACACATTCAGTACTTTATTATGAAACAGGCTTTATATTAGATAATTTGCCCAACTGTGGGCTAACATAAGTGTTCTAAGAACATTTAAGGTAGGTGAGGTGGCTGGGCATGGTGGTATACACCTATAATCCCAGCAGCTGCAGAGGCTGAGCCAGGAGGATCATAAATTCAAAGCCAGCTTCATCACTTAGTGAGGCCCTCAGGAACTTAGTGAGACCCTGTCTCAAAACAAAACATAAAAAGGGCTGGGGATGTGATGGAGCTCAGTGGTTAAGCATCCCTGGATTCAAGCCCTGGTACCAAAAAAAAAAAAGTAGGATAGGCTATCTAAGCCATGATGGATGTTCAGCAGGCCAGATGTATTACATGCATTTTTTTAAAAAATATTTTTTAGTTGTTAATGGACCTTTATTTTGTTTATTTAAATGTGGTGCTGAGAATCGAACCCAGTGCCTGACACATGCTAGGCAAGCATTCTGCCACTGAGCCACAATCCCAGCTCTTTTTTTTTTTAATATTTATTTTTTAGTTGTAGTTGAACACAATACCTTTATTTATTTATTTATTTTTATGTGGGGCTGAGGATCAAACCCAGGGCCTCGCACATGCTAGGTGGGTGCTCTACCACTGAGCCACAACCCCAGGCTCTTACATGCATTTTGATTTATTATATTTTCAACTTACATTGAGTTTATCAGGATGTACCCCCAGGGTAAGTCAAGGAGCATCTGTACATGTACAGCTTTTAAGCAGTGCCTGACAGCCAGGTGTGGCAGCACACACCTGTAATCCCAGCAACTCTAGGGTAAGGCAGGAGGATCACAAGATCTAGACCAGCATGATCCTCAAAATAAGAAAGTGCCAGGAGTGTAGCTCAGTGGTAGAGCACCTCTTCCTTCTCCTCTTTGTCTTTTATTTTTTAGTTTATTTTTACTTATTTATTTGGTGGTGCTGGGGATTGAACCCAGGGCCTTTGTGCATGTGAGGCAAGTGCTCTACCAAATGAGATATACCCCCAGCCCCTATTTTTTTTTTTTTTATACTGGGAATTGAATCCAGAGTGCTTAACCACTGAGGACATCCCCACCCTTCTTATTTTTGAGACAGGGTCTTGCTGGGTTCCTCAGGACCTCACTAAATTGCTGAGGCTGCCTTTGAACTTTTTTTTTCGGGGGTAGAGTTACCAAGGATTGAACTCAGGGGCACTCAACCACTGAGTCACATCCCCAGCCCTATTTTGTATTTTATTTAGAGACAGGCTCTCACTGAGTTGCTTGGCACCTTATCCTTGCTGAGGATGGCTGGTTTTAAACTTTTGATCCTCCTGCCACAGCCTCCCTAGCCACTGGGATTACAGGCATGCACTACTACATCCTGATTCTTCTTCTTATTTTGGTGCTAGGCATTGAACCAGGGTCTTGCAAATGCTAAGCATGCACTCTACCACTGAACTACATCCCTAGTTCTAAAATACTTTTGATTACCTGGGATAACAAACCCTGCCCCCAAACCCAACCACTCTGAGCTGAAGCTGGGCCCAGGCCCCTGCTTTTCCTCCTGTTTGGACTTCCATCAACTGGGCAGGATGGTAGGATGAATAAGTGAGTGAATAAATAAGAGAGGCATTACATTTGGGTTCTGTTGGGAGACTAGGAGCTTTCCAGGTAAAGAAGAGGTAATTGAGGGCTGGGGATGTACCTCAGTGGCAGAGCATTTACATAGTATGATTAAGGTCCAGGCTCCAATCTCCAGTTCAAAAAAAAAAAAAAAAAAGTAGTGATTGAGGCTGGGGATGGGTTGCTTCATCAATGGCAATGGAGGTTCCCTATTCCTTGAGTTCAGAGGGAGATGATGCTAAAGAGGAATGCTGGGTTCATTAGAATGCTTTTTTGGGGGATGTACTGGGGATTGAACCTAGGGGCACATTACCACTGAGCTAATTCCCCAGCTCTTTTTATTTTGAGACAGGGCCCTGCTAAGTTGCTTAGGTCCTTTTTTTTTTTTAAATTTTTTTAATATTTATTTTTTAGTTATCGGCGGACACAACATCTCTGTTTTGTATGTGGTGCTGAGGATCGAACCCGGGCCGCACGCATGCCAGGCGAGCGCGCTACCGCTTGAGCCACATCCCCAGCCCTGCTTAGGTCCTCAATAAGTTGCTGAGGCTGGTTTTGAACTTGAGATCCTCCTGTTTCAGCCTCCTGAATCATTGTAATTAGAGGCATGTACCACCCACCAGCTAGTTCCATATCTGTGTGGGAAAGAGATTCCTGGTGGGAAGGCTTTTGTGATAGTGTGGCAATTATTTGCAGAAAAGACTGAGGTCAGAGTGGGGTGTGTTCTAAGTTCCAGCAATGAGAAGGCCTGAACCAAAGCAGTGGCAGTGAGAAAGAAATAAAGAAGCAGCATATGAGATATCTGAGAGAAAGAATTAATATTAATCTACGTACTTTATTGAGTGCCTCCTAGGAATTATGTTAAGGGATTGTGGAAATAAAAAGAACCGAAATAGCATTTATTCTTGTCTTCAAGTAGCTCAAATCCTAGTAGAAGCAGACCAACCTACAAACAAAATATAGATGTAGTGAAAGCCACATTCAGTAGCACTGCAGCCAGTCTCATTGAGAGATCTCTATGCTTGGGAAATCAGCAAATTCATTGATGGAAATTGCCTTTTCAAGTATTCCCAAAGATATATTTTTTTTAATATTTATTTTTTAGTTATAGGTGGACACAATATCTTTATTTTATTTTTATGTGGTACTAAGGATCGAACCTAGAGCCTCACACATACAGCGCTCTACCTTTGAGCCCCAACCCCAACCCCAGCCCTCCAAAGACCAATTTTGTACTCGGGTTTGAGCCCAGGGAAACTCTGCCATTGAGGCATATCCCCAGCCCTTTTTAGTTTTTATATTGAAAGAGAGTTTTGCTAAGTTGCCCAAGGTACCCTCAAACTCACCATCTCCCACCTCCGCTTCCTGAGTTGTGGTGCTGGAGATTGAACCCAGGGCCTTGTGCATGTGAGGCAAGCACTCTTTCCATGAGCTATATCCTCAGCCCTGGACTTATTCTTAATTCAATGGAATGTTACTGAGGTGGGTTTTTTTTTTATGTGTGTGTGTGTGTGTGTGTGTGTGTGTGTGTGTTTGTTTTTGTTTTTGACCCTCTACACTGACTTCCATCCTCAGACCTTTTTATTTTTGAGACAGGGTCCTGATAAGTCTTGTGAGTTTTATTTTGTCCCAATTTATTAGCATTTATTTATTTACGCAGTAATGAGGATAGAACCTAGGGACTTAAACATGCTAGGCAAGCACTTTATTACCGAGCTACATCCTCTGCCCCTATTAGTTTTTAGTTTTTTTTTTAAGAGAGAGAATCTTTTTATTTATTTATTTCTGTAGATGGACACAACACAATGCCTTTATTTTTATGTGATGCTGAGAATCGAACCCGTGACCGCCCATGCTAGGCGAGCGCTCTACCGCTGAGCCACAATCCCAGCCCCCACTCCTATTAGTTTTAAATTTAGGTATAGTCTTTCTCCCATTAAATGCAAAGTTGTTTTTTTTTTCGGGGGCGGGGGGCGGTGATTACCGGGGATTGAACTCAGGAACATTAGACCACTGAATTCGTGATCCTCCTGCTTCAGCCTCCCGAGCTGCTGGGATATCACAGGTGTGCGCCACCGCGCCAGGCTAAATGAGAAGATCTTATTATTAATATTAGGAGACTTTAAAAAACTTTTTTTGTTATACATGTACACAATATCTTTACTTTGTTTATTTTTATGTGGTGCTGAGAATCAAACCCAATGCCTCACATGTGCGAGGCAAGGGCTCTGCCACTGAGCCACAACCCCAGCCCTAAATGCAAAGATCTTAAGTGCTGGGTTCCCTGAGTTTGGGCAATTGTATTCATCATGGTTACCACCACCTAAAAGAAGACCCAGAACATTTCTATTGTCCCAGTAAAGTTCCTAGTGCCCCTTTCTCGGCAACTCCCCGATACAACTCAAGAGTACCGAAGGGTTTTCAGCATGATGTTTGTGATTTGAAAGGATCGCACCGGATGCGGAGCAGAGAACCGCTAGAGACCTGGAAGGAAGGTACTGCAGTACAGTCCAGGAGCGCCACTCAAGGGCCGGGAGAGCTTGCAGGTCGCCTAGCAACCGGAAAGCGCTCCGCCCAGGGGTGACAGCTCCGCAGCTGAGGGAGGCCCCGCCTCGTTTATCTCCATGCCCCGCCCCCTCAAGAGCCTGTAGTAGCCCCGCCCTCTCAAGAGTCTGTAGTAGCCCCGCCCCGCATTAGGGGGCGGGCGGAGCCTTCTTATTGGTCGTCTCTTCGGAAGTGACGGAATTCGGAATCTCGCGCACAGTCTGGCAACACCAGGGCAGGTGGGTGCGGGTGCGCTGTGCGTGGTGGCGGCGCGTGGCGCGGACTTGTGGCAGGGCGGCGGGGGCGGGGGGTCTCAGCAACTGAGACGGGACCGTGGGGCTGAGGGTCCCCACACCCCTGACCCTGGTGCGTGACCTGCTCTCCGGTTCCCAGAGCTCCAGGCGCAGGCCGGGATGTTCGTCCTGGTGGAGATGGTGGACACCGTGCGAATCCCCCCGTGGCAGTTTGAGAGGAAGCTCAACGACTCTATTGCCGAGGAGCTGAACAAGAAATTGGCCAACAAGGTACCGCCCGGCCCCGCCCGCTGCAGACCTGGTCACGGTCATGCCCAGCCTTGTCCCTGGGCAAGGAGCTGAAAGTCTCAGGACCTCCTTGCCGTCGCTTGGAAACGGGATGGGGGTATTCCGAATCTCACAAGGATTGAGGAGGGGATCAGAAGAGAAAATGGACTTTTAAAGGGTTTTGTAACAGATAAATGCTGGGTTCCACACTTCCAAATCACTTTGCGATCTTGGGCAAGTCACTCCCTCTGGGCCTCAGTTTCTATTACAAAATGAGGACAATGCTCTTCTACCTACCATTTGTTATTTTTTGTAAAGATGGAGAGTTCTAGTGGCATGGAATTCACTGTCAGGAGATTTATCCATTTATTCCTGTGACATGTTTGCACATCTTCTATGTGCGCTGTTTGCCTCAGTGCTAGCTCCTGAGGGGCCTTCCTATCCTTCTGTGCTTGCCTTCTGCCCAGTGGTCCAGTGTCATCATTATCTTTCCTTTTAATTCTCTTTTTGGTACCAGGAATTGAACCCTGGGATGGTTAACCACTGAGCCACATCCCCAGTATCTTTTTTTTTTTTTTTTAAAGAGAGAGAGAGAGAGAGAGAGAATTTTTAATATTTATTTTTTAGTTTTTGGCAGACACAACATCTTTGTTTGTATGTGGTGCTGAGGATCGAACCCGGGCCGCACGCATGCCAGGCGAGCGCACTACCGCTTGAGCCACATCCCCAGCCCCCCAGTATTTTTTTATATTCTGTTTAGAGAAGGTCTCCTTGAGTTGCTTAAAGCCTTGCTAGTTGTTGAAGCTAACTTTGAACTTGTCTGCTGAGCTGCTGGGATTCCAGGCATGCCACCACACCTTGCTTTTTTCTTTCCTCTGTTACATTCTTGTTTTTTGTTTATTTGTTGAGTGCATTTTGTTTTTCCTCTCCATGAGGACAGGGACCTGTCTGTTTTTTTCCTTGCAGTATCTCCACACTTAGCCAGAGCTTGGCAGAGTAAATGCTCCATAATCATTGATTATGGTGAGAAAAGCAGAAATGACTAAGGAGGACCCCCGCAGTTAAGTATATGAGGACGAGTTGATATAAATATCATGAAGAACAGGTATTCACACACTTGTGGAACAAAATGAACTTGAGAGGGATAGGTGGCTTTGTTGAGGAGGTGGCACTTGAGCCATCTGATTGTGAGGCGATGTTATGGTGAGGAGGAGCCAACTGGAGGATTTGTTTTTGAGTTGGGAGTAGGCCAGGCATAGAGAAGAGCTGTGCAGGCAGAGGAATCAGCATGTGCAAAGGCCCTGTGAAAGGACATGGAGGAAGCTAGTAGGTTTGGGAAGGGTGAGAGGAGCGTGGGCTGGAAGATGGATAGGTCTGCATCCCCATACAATTTCACAGTCAGAGTTTCAGTCTTCATGGGTAGAGCAGCAGGAGGTGATGGGCTGGGAAAGAGCCAGAGGAAGACTGGTTGACTTTAGACAGGAGGAAGATTCCTTCAAAATAGGTTGAGATCAAAGGATGGCAGTGTATAGATCTGGGAGTGTTTAGATGGTAGATGGAACTCACGGAACCCTTAGTGGATGTTTCTGTTACCTTGTGAGGTAGAAGGTGAAGATTTGTGGAGGAATGAGGTATGAACATGGTAGAGAGAAGGTGTAAAAATATAGGAAGGGAATATGGTCCCCTGGGGCATAGTCCTTTTGAGACAAATCTTTCTATATTTGAACTAGGGAGTCTGAGAGGAGGCCACACAGAAAAGGCCTAGCGTCCTTGAAGGGCATCTCACCTGCCTCCTGAGCCAGCTGGCTTTCACAATCTTGTGGCAGTGAGGTCTGCCCACAGCTCAGTTCTCTTGAGTATCTTGCTAATCCCTGAACAGCTCCTGCAAGGTCTGTTACTAGGAGGTGATATTATAGTGTTGTTGGTGGATACTGGACATAGTAGACAAGTTGTTTGGAGCACTGTGGTGTGGGACTGGAGCCATGGGATCTTCTGTCCTTTCTTAGGGTCTTGGCCCTTGGTCACTGTGCCAGCACATTCCCTACAACTGCCTGTGTGTGACACATTGTGAGCATAGTGGAGTTAGCTGTGGTTCTACCACTCAATGGCTGCAAGCTGCAGCGTGGACTTTGGGATGTTGGAACGTGTGGGTGTAGCCAGGATTCCTGCCCCAGTCCTCACTGGTAATACCAGGGATCCTCACTTGGTTGTTTTTGCAGTGGCTGAGCCAGACACTAAGATAGGGCTTCACTCCAATCTCTGTATTAATTTAACAATACTGTAGCTGGTATTTCATTTTTGTAGATGGGGAAACAGGCTCCAAGAGGCAATATGATGGCATTAGGGGTCACACAGTGAACGATAGAGCTGGCATTGGAGGCTGGATCTGTCTTGTCACCATGGGCCTGCTCTTTCCAGAGCCCTGTGTCCTGAGCTTCCCTACCATGGTTACCTCCTGCAGAGCCCCAACTCATTTCCATTTAAAAGAGGATACTCAACTTGCTTATGGTTATGAGGGTCTCCAGAGGTACTCCTGGGGAACTGGACTTCATAGTCACGTGTATGTGTACACATGCACACAGGTTGTGTACAACGTGGGACTCTGCATCTGTCTGTTTGACATCACCAAGCTGGAGGATGCCTATGTGTTCCCAGGGGATGGCGCTTCACATACCAAAGGTGGGTACCTTCTCCTCCTAGGGCATTGCATTTCCTGGGCTCAATTCTATAGCAAGAGGTCAAGCTGTAGAGAAACTGCAGGTGGTGGGAGACCTGGGCCCATTCCTGACTGTGTCAAGAGTTGATGCCATAAGAGTGGGCAGATTCACTCTGGGCCTCAGTTTTCTCATCTGTAAAAAATAGGATGTAACGCCAGCACGGTGGTGCATGCCTGTAATCCCAGTGGCTTGGGAGGCTGAGACAGGAGGATCGCAAATTCAAAGCCAGCCTCAGCAAAAGTGAGGTGCTAAGCAACTCAGACCCTGTCTCTAAATTCAAAAATAGGGCTGGGGATGTGCCTCTGTGGTCAAGTGCCCCTGAGTTCAATCCCTGGTACCAGAAAAAGAAATTGGAGGTAAACTAAGTGATTTTCAAGACCTCTCCAGCTCTGTGATTGGGGCTCCACATCTGTGCCCCTTTGGGTCTTTTCTACTGCCCAGCCCTGCTCTTTGCCCATCCTTGGGGCTGCTCATCACCCGGTACAGGAGACAGGCCAGGCCATTGCTGGGTTACAGGGTGGGGGAAGCAGGTGACCTTGAGAAGCAGGAGGACATAGCTGTTGAAAATGTGGCCTGTGCTGGGTATGGTGGCACAGGCCTGTAATTCTGGCCCCTCATGAAGATGAGACAGGAGCAACATGAGTTCCAGGCCAGTCTGGGCAACTTAACTTAGTAAGACTCTGTCTCAAAATAAAATGAAAAAAGGGCTGGGAGTGTGGCTCCATGTTCGAGTGTCTGGCATGCTATGGGCTCTGAGTTTAGTAACCAGCATGGCCCCCCCCAAAAAAAAGAAAAGAAAAAGTGTGTGGTGGCGGGAGAGTTGTGGCTCAATGGTAGAGCACTCGCCTAACACGTGCAAGGCCTGGGTTCGATCCTCAGCACCACGTAAAAATGACTAAGTAAATAAAATAAAATAAAGGTATCATGTCTGTCTACAACTAAAATTAAATAAATAAATAAATATTAAAAGAAAGAAAGAAACAAAGAAAAAGTGTGGTCTGTGGATTCAGATTGCTACTCTGCTTATTGGCTGTGTGTCCTGAGTAGAATATGTAACCTCTGTCCTTCTTGTTCCTCATCTACCAAATGCAGTTAAGAGATTTTTATGGGCTGGGATTGTGGCTCAGTGGTAGAGAGCTCACCTAGCATGGGCGGGACTTGGGTTCCATTCTCAGCACCACATAAAAATAAAGGCATTGTGTTGGGTCCATCTACAAAAAAGATATTCATTTTCTCAATCTCTCTCTCTCTCTCTCTCTCCTTAAAAAAAAAAAAAGAGATTTTATATTCTAGGACTGCTGTGAGGATGGGGTTAATACATGGTAGAGCTCCTAGGACAGGACCATAGCACCTAGCATGTACTCCTCCAGTTGGATTGCTTTTCTCCATGCTCTGGGTCATTTAGGTGGTGTTCTTCTGGGGTGGCTTGGCCAGGTCTGGGCCATGTAGGATGGCTGTGTGTTCTGGTTAGTGGCAGCCTGGCTGGTCTGGGTCCTCCTGTGGTCTCATCTTTCAGTAGGCCACTCTGGGCTTGGCAGTTTCAAGGTTGCAAAGCTCCCTGAGGAAGCGCTTCTGCAGCCTCTGTTTAAATCCCAGTGGCCAGAGGGTCATGTGGCCAAGGCTCTGGGCAAGAGATGGAGAGACTCCACCTCTTTTTTTTTTTTAATATATTTTTTAGTTGTAGATGGACACAATACCTTTATTTATTTATTTTTATGTGGTGCTGGGGGGTCGAACCCAGCGCCTCACGCATGCTAGGCAAGCGCTCTACCACTGAGCCACAACCCCAGCCCCAGAGACTCCACCTCTTGATGGGAGAAAATGCTGTCACATTGAAGGGGTGTGCATCTGGGAGGGCAGGGTTAGAGGAGGAGAGGGGCCTGGGGCGTGGTCCTGATGGAGATGTGTGGAGCTTGTTGGAGTGTGGGTCTGTAGCCTTGCTGTCACCTGGGCATGTGATGGAAATGCAGATTCTCAGCCTGCCCAGACTATGGATCAGAGTTGAGAGCAGAAGTGAGGCAGTTTTGAGGGCCCTGTGATGCTCTCACAGCCTGTGGCCAAGGAGCCCTGTCCTAGCCTTTGCTTGTCAGCCTCTCAGCACGGGGATGCCCAGGCATTCCAGAATGTGCTGGGACTGCCTGGGCCCTTGCAGGCATCCAGGGCTTAACTCATTCATGTGGATGTTACTGTGCTCCATAGGGAGCCCTAAGAAATAGGCTGTCTTTGAGTGGACTAGGGGCATTTTCATGAGCAGAAAACAAAGACTGTGATGTGAAAACCACCAGCAGGGCTGCTTCCAGGAGAAGGAGCTGAGCTGAGCCCTGGCTCTAAGTGACCTCTGGTTGTCCAGAAAGCAGGTGGCCCTAGGTACCTGAGCTTCCATATATAAGTCTGGTTTGGGGAAGTTCTGCATGGTTGGTTGGTTGTTTCTGTGTACGACTGCCCATTGATCTTCATCATTCTCCACCTGGGAACAAATATGTGGCGCTGAGCGCTGGGTAGGCGCATCACAGGGACTAGAAGTGAATTCTGGGTCTGGTCCTGGATGGGGGCATTGGCAGGTAATTCCGCTTCCTGGTTTTGGTTTCTCCGTGAGTGCAGTAGGGTAACTGATAATATAGTTCCTCATGGGCCACTGAGCACCATGCAGGTGGAGTTGCTATTTTGTAGTGAGGTCAGTTGCTGTTTGATTCTGATGCTGGCTTTTGTCCCCAGGCACAGTTCTGCTGTTCCCTTTCTGCCTTCCACAAGGCTCTGGTCTGGTGGAGCAAGTGCCGCAGGGGGCCACAGCACCAGGATAGGTCTTGCCTTTACCTCTGCTTTGAGGAATATTCATTTGCTAGGTGCTTCTGCATTTTGTCACCTAGGACAGGTTGCTTTAGCTCTCTGAAACTCCATTTCCCCATATATTCCAATAGTATAACAGTGCATACTCATTAAATGTACACGAGTAGACTCTTCTGCAAAACTTCCTGTGTGGTGGGTACTCAGAAGACTTCAGCTTTCATGATTTGAGACACTGACCTTGACTTGCCAGGCTTATCCACAATCACTTAGAGCACTTCTACCTGGTGCCCGCCAAGCCTGGGTCCTGGCCTCCCCCTCTAATGCTCTGTTCTGTCCACTCAGCCCTGAGCAGCCTGCTGTTGGTGGTTTTTCTTTTTCTTTTTTATTCCCTGTTTTGATAAAAAGTGTGTAACAAAATTTAATGATTTAACTTTTTTGTGTGTACAGTTCAGTGATATTAAATATATTCCCATTATGTTTCCCCCCCTGCCACCCCAAAGTACTGGTGATTGAACCCATGGGTGCTTTACCATGATCTACATTCCCATCACTTTAATTTAAAAAAAACATTTTGGAACCAGGGGTTGAACCCAGGGGGGATTAACCACAGAGATACATCCCTACCCCTTTTTATTTTTTATTTTGGGACAGGGTCTTGCTAAGTTGCTGAGGCTGACTTTGAAGTTGTGATCCTCCTGCCTTAGCCTCCTGAGCTGCTGGGGTTATAGGTGTGTGCCACGATACCTGGCTATTATTATTGTTACCACCATCTACCTCCAAGACTTTCTCATCTTCCTATGCTGAAATTCCCTTCCCATTAAATACTGTCTTCTTATTCTGTAGTTCCTCGAAACCCCCATTCTGCTTTCGGCCCTGTGAACTTGACCATGACATGAGTAAGAATCATAGTATCCTTTTTGCAGAAATTTACTACACCCCAAAGCAACCTTACTTATTCTTGCACAAATTTTGCTTAAGCCCACAACTAAGAACAAACTCTTCTTCTTTTTTTTTTTTTTTTTAATTGGAGACTGGGGGTTGAACCCAGGGGTGCTCAACCACTGAGCCACATCCCCAGCCCTTTTTATGTTTTATTTAGGGACAGGGTGTTGCTAAGTTGCTTAGAGCCTTGCTAAAGTGCTGAGGCTGACTATGAACTCACAATTTTCCTGCCTCAGCCTCCTGAGCTGCTGGGATTACAGGCACGTGCCACTGTGCAGGCCAAACTCTCCTTTTTTGGTGAGGGAGGGGTGCTAGGGATGGACTCAGGGCATCACACAAGTAAGGCAGGGGTTTTATCACTGAGCTGCACCCCCAGCCCTCTTCCTTAGGGTTTATAATCCCATGTGTATGGGCACCACATTTGTGTACAATTCATCCATAGATGGACACTTGGGCTGTCCATTGTATGCTTCCGACTTTTGGATGTGTATGGATGTGTATGCGCAGTGGCATACACCTGTAATCCCAGTGGCTGAGGCAGGAGGATTGCGAGCTCAAAACCAGTCTCAGCAACATAGGGATGCCCTGAGCAATTCAGTGAGATCCTGTCTCTAATAAAATACAAGAAAAAGCTGGAGCCGGGTGCAGTGCCACACGACTGTAATCCCAGCAACTTGGGAGGCTGAGACAGGAGGATTGTGAGTTCAAAGCCAGCCTCAGCCACAGTGAGGTGCCAAGCAACTCAGTGAGACCTTGTGTCTAAATAAAATACAAAATAGGGCTGGGGTTGTGGTTCAGTGTTTGAGTTCCCCTGAGTTCAATCCCCAGTACCAAAAAAAAAAAAAAAAAAAAAAAAAGTTGGAGCTTCCTGGGCACCCCATTATGTGCTGTCTGCCTCCACAAGCCTGATGCCCAAGCTGGTGCACACCTGGTAGAGAATCTGAGGATTCATTAAACCAAGCTGAGTGTTGGTCATGTGGGGGACGGTCCTGCTAGGTCCTGGGGTCAGAGTAATGTGGGCATGGACCATAGCTGGTATTTTTTCTTGAGATGAGGAGAGTGGGGACACCTGAGGTAGTCTTGACAACCCACAGAGGTATGTTTGCTGAGCTGTCACACCACACCCACTCTACCCCCTAAGTTCAGGGCATTTTTAGCATCCTGTTCCAGGTCAGTGCTGTGCCTGGGGCAAACTTCAACAGTCATCAGGAGATAGGAATTTGTTTCCAAACCTGATTTCCTTTGCCAGTTGCTCTTTTTAGAACTTAAAGCAGAGCCTGGAGGAAGGTTGGAATTGACTTGGAGTCATCCATGGCCCAGAGTGTGGGCTCAGGTGTGGCTTATCATATGGATTTGGGAGCCAGCCCACAGACCCAGAGCAGCTGCTGCTGCTGGTCCCTCAAAGGATCAAGCTATGACCTTGTTGGGGGTGAGGGAGGGTCTCTTGGGCTCAGCCGAAGGGTGTGGATTTGCAGGAGGACTTGACATTGACCACTGGGTCAGTGTGCTGGTGGTGAGGAGGGATTGTGGAGAGCATGGGCAACCCCAGTCTCCAAGGTTGTCCTCCTGTGCCTGCTGGTCAATAACGTGCTGCCTTCATTTCAGTACATTTTCGCTACGTGGTGTTCCACCCATTCCTGGATGAGATTTTGATTGGGAAGATCAAGGGCTGCAGCCCAGAGGGAGTGCATGGTGAGGTGACCCTGAGTATCTCGGGCAGTCTGGCTGGGGGCAGGTAGCCTGTGCTGTGCATGTGGTTGGGGGGTGGGGTGCTCAGATATGGAAGCAGATCTTCCTGTGCTGTTGGAGGAGACTGCTCAGCTTTCAGGGCCAAGCACAGGTATACTCAGCTCTCTCCCACTTTCAGGTATTGAGCAAGGACCTCAGTTGGCCATCGGCTTTCACTATGAGGCCATAACTCAGACCTCAGGTTTGGGGTACCAGGTGCTTAGAGCTTTGCCCAGAGCTGCTCAGGTTGGTGTGTGATGTAGGCAGAGGTGTGGGGATCTGAGGTGAGAAGGGCTAAATCCCATGGTGACATCAGTCCCATGGGCACACTGGATAGGGATGTGCCTGTTGAGCATGCAGACCCCTTATTGTCTGGCTGGCTTCTTGGGCCCTGTCTCATGCAGTCATCTCCATTTCTTCCAGTCTCTCTAGGGTTCTTTGATGACGTTCTCATCCCCCCAGAGTCACTGCAGCAGCCTGCCAAGTTGTATCCTTCCAAGGTAAAAGTGGGTCACAGAGGAGTTAGGCCTCTTCAATAGAAGGTACCTGCTCCTGTGGTGGCCTTCATATCCTGTGACCTGACACTGCTGTCCCCCTGCAGCCCTTGTGCTCTGGGTATGCTGACCCACCTCTGCTTTCCACCTGACCTCAGTTCCATGTGCCCTTGTCTGCAGGTAGCAGGCTGATGGTAGAATAGGGCTGTGGGACCCTCTTCTTCTGATTCACTTTACTTAGGTGCGAGTCTTCCTCTCCAGGCCCCCTATTGTCCCAATCCCAGTGCTGCAACTGGCTGCACTTGTCTGTTTCTGTGGAGCTGTCACTAATTCGAGACTCCTCACTGGAGGAACTGTAGCCAGGGGCCAGAAGGGGCCTGGTAGAGGAGGCAGTGCCCAGTGGTGGGACTGCCACTAGAAGGCAGTGTGATTCATTGTGGGCTCTGGGGTAGGAGAGGAGGGGGTGGTGGGGGTGGGGGTGCTGCCCTGCCTGGTGTGACATCACACCTGACCCAGCCTGGCTGCTACTCTCATCAATGGTAGGGCTTTAGGCAGGTAACCTCCCAACCACCTCATCCTCCTGAGAACTGGACAAGCCCTTAAGCTACCTGCCCCTTGGGTTGTCACAAGGCTTGGATGAGAAGTGGCGTGAGGTGCCTCAGTCACTCTTTGAGAGGTGGGCTGGCTGTGGTCCCAGCGTTTCCCTGGCAGCAGCAACTCCTGCTTCTCACTGTTGGAAACAGACACTGCAGCTAGTCGCACCTGCTTTTCCTGTGACTTCTCAGCCAAAGTGATGTCATCTTTGGGGTTGTTTTTTCTTGGGGTGGGTGCTTAGGAGGACTCCACAACTCTGTGCTCCTCACGGCTTGGTTGTGGCCTTGACCCTGAGCCCTCAGTGATGAAGCAGAACAGGTGTGGGTGTGGGAGTATGAGACAGAGGAGGGAGCACACGACCTGTACATGGACACTGGTGAGGAGATCCGCTTCCGAGTGGTGGATGAGAGCTTTGTGGACACGTCTCCTACAGGGCCCAGCTCTGCGGAGGCCACCTCTTCCAATGAGGAGCTGCCAAAGAAGGAGGCTCCATACACACTTGTGGTGAGAGGTTTTGATGGTGCAGCAGGAATCACTGGGAGGCAGGAGAGCCCAGTGTGTATTGATGGGCGGCTCCCTGGAAGTTCTGCTGTAGGACCTGCTCTCCAGCAGGTCAGGGACCAGGCCCCTCTTGTGTGGTCTTGGCCTGTCACTTATCCCCGAAATCGAAATCCCTGTTTCTCAAGGCTAGGGCAGCGGAGCCAAAGTTGCCATGAATATTGGAGATGGTGGGCGGGATTAGTGCCTTGCTTGCAAGGGTCCATGCTGCACAAGCCACCGGGGCTGCAGGGAAGAAACAAGCCCAGGAGGGAAGAGTGGCCTGGGGGCTGCTCCCTCTGTACATATTTGGAGGCCAAGCCTCATGGACTGTCAGCTTTTCTGGCAGGACTAAACCACAGATGGCTTAGAACGGTGGGCCTGGGGGTGAGGACCGGTGCTTGATCCCACTGAGGCCTTGGGGCCAGCAAACCAGCACTCTCCTTACAGACCTCAGGAGGGGAGGGGCAGAAGAGGGGTCTGTGCCCCACGTGCTCCACTGTGCCATCACGGATGTGGGTCCCCATTTCCCTACAGCCCCATGGCTGTTGTGTGCCTCACCTCTCCTTTGCCTATGCTGGTTCTGCTGTGAATCAAGGGTGGGTCCCTGTTATCTCCTCTCCAGGGTAGTTAAGCCCTAAATGGTGGTGAAACATACCTGTTCTCTCTCTGGCAGGGATCCATCAGTGAGCCTGGCCTGGGCCTTCTCTCGTGGTGGACCAGCAACTAGATCCGGGGTTCGACGGGGAACTTGCCCATCCAGTAGACCCTACCTCAGCCCTGGGGAAGGTGGTGCAGCTGGTCCTGAGCAGATGCTGAGGAGTCCATGTCACCCAGGACCAGAAGGGGCAGGGGTCAGCACTTCTGCCAGCATGTCCTCCCTCCCCAGTGACCTAGCTCTGCTCTTCCCCACAGAGCGCTACCCCTGAAGTCCTGCCATCCCTGTGATTTTTTTTTTTTTTTTTTTTTTTTTTTTGGCGGTGCTGGGGGATGATGGAACATAGGGCCTGCCACATGCTAGGCAAAGACTGAGACCACTGAGCCACACCCCCAGCCCTATCCAGTCCCATCCTGTGGTTTTCAGTGATAGTAACATTTTAATAAAGTAATGGCAGCATCTGCAGGGAAGGATCATCAAGATCCTTCCCTGGATTTGTCTCAATGGCCAATGTCATGATCTACTGAGTTGCCAAGCTGGGACATGTCCTTAACTCACCCCATATCCCTTTTGAAGAACTCCCCCCAAATGCAAGAAGTGGGGTTTTCAGATTGTGGAATTCCTGCCACCCCAGGCCGGGCCTTGGGCTGGCTGAGCTTGGCTCCATAGTAGAGAGAGGCCAGTCTAGGCTAGCTGCTTTGGTCCTGAAGCTACCAGTTGTTGATTGAGTTAGAGGCAATACACCCGCTCTGCATTTGGAAGATAGAAGGAAGCCCCTGAAATTGGCTAAACCAGCTCTGAGTTGAGGAAGTGAAGGCTGTGGACTTTCTTGACCCCAGGTATCATCCCCCATAGAAGAGCAGGAATCCTAGTGCCTGTCACTCAGACCGCAGGTATAGCTATGTAGTGCAGTGATGCCCCAGATCTGAGCAGGAGAATGGCTCTGACAGGTCCTCCTGCCCCTTTCTCCCACTGCTGTGGACACCAGGACACTTGTGCCTGAGTCTTGTCCTGGTGTTGGGCCTCCATGGAGACTTTTTACTTCAGGTTACCAGTGGAGGTCCTGGGCAGTGTCAGCCTATGCAACCTCAGGGGGACCCTATTTTTCACCATGCTAAAGGGACAGAACAGTATATAGCATATTCTAGTCATGACCTTATCTGTAAGATACACAGACCATCCCTCAGAGTGATTAGAGGGATTAACAAGACCATGCCAGCCATGCCATCAGTGCCCAAGGGAAGAAGGTGGGTTCTCTCTCCAGGAGGCTCTTTCCCACCAGGAAAACCATGGGATCTAGGGCCATGCCTGTCTAGCTGGTGCAAGTGCAGGAGGCAGGTGGTGATGGGGAGGGCCTTTCTGCCATAGCTCACATCTCCTTCACAGCAGCAACTGGGCTCCAGGTGTGACTGTGGGGCGTCCACTGACATTGGCTAAAAAGGCCCTCCCTGAACCCTAGAGTTGGTACAAACAGCAGAGACCACCACTCACGCAGGAACAGTCAATGAATTTGATTCTTATTTTTCTTGCAAGAAAAAAATGTTCTCTAAAATCCTTCAGCCACCAAATGATCAGGCAGAATAAAAACTTCTTTAGAGGGGAGTGTTGTCATAAAAATAAATACAGTCATGTGGCGCTGCTCAAGATTTGAACCAAACTAAAAGTGGGAAGGCAGGGACTGGAAATTGATTTTAAGAAGCCCCCACCATGGGTCACTGAGTGGGCTGAAGTGGGAAAGAGCAGGAAGCACGTCTGGTCACACCATCCCGGAGTAGGAAGCCATGATTGGATGGACCAGTGGCCCTGACGATGCATGTGGAACTGCACTTGTAATGACACCAGCTTGGGCAGGGGTGGGGCAGAGCAGGGCCCTTCCTTACTGCTGCAGCTCCTTCATCCTGTTCAGAGCACTGCCTGCACGGAACCACTCGATCTGTGTCTCGTTGAAGGTATGGTTCAGGAGGATGGTCTCCTGGGTCCCGTTGGGGTGCTTGATGATGCATTTCAGGGGCTGCAATGGGGGAGGCAGGTGTGGGTAAAGAGCCGTACATGTTCCTAGCAGCATGACCACTGGCAGGGTTGAGTTGGGGCAGGAATGGGAAGGTAGGGGAGAAGCCAGCCTGGGGTAGCTGCTTTGGGCCCTGAAGTTGCCAAGGGATTTGGAGGCCAACAGGCAAAGTAAGTCCTAGGCAGATCTGGGCCTCTGCTACCCATAGAGGGGTCCTGGGGCCAGTGGATCACACTGGGGAAGCCTGGGCTGGCTCCACCCTTGGCTCTGGAAAGGCACTTCTCTTCCTATCTGGGATCTGCCTAGAGAACTTAAGGGCCCTTCCAGCTCACTTGGAGGAGCTGCATGGACAGTAGGAAGGGAAAGTGGCTGCCCCCACCCTTCCACCTAGGAGGACCCTAGCCTGTCTATGCTCCTTCCCTGCCCCCTGACCTTGCCAGGGGCAAAGTCCTTCAAGCCCTGAATGGTCAGCTTGTCCACAGGGTGTATCTTGTTGTAGTCAGCAGGGTCAGCAAAGGTGAGAGGCAACAGGCCCTGCTTCTTCAGGTTGGTTTCTGGAAGACAGAGGCACACTCAGTTAATTGGGTGGTGTCTGCCTGGTCCCCAGCCTTACCTTCCTCTTCCCCTTCAGGGACCCTTACCAGTCCAAGGAATATATCATTTTCTAAATCTGGTTGGGACCTTGGCAGACACCTCTGGTCCTGCTACTGGGAACAAACATAATGACTAGAGGGCTCAGGTCTACTAAAGTCCCAGTGACATGCTCCCTTTCACTAGGGGCACCTGAAGGGGTATGCCTTGGTGCAGATGTCTCTGTGAGGCCTTCCTGGTAGACATGTTCACAATGAGAACAGACTCTCTCATTATGTGTCCTGGATTTCAACTGCTCTGGTCTTCAAGTTTGGAAGCAAGACCAGCGCTGATGGGAAGCTGTGGACATTGGATTTGGGCAATGTAAACCTGAGAAGGGGCTGATGATTAGACGTAGACTGGGAGCTAGGCACTTGGCTCCAGGACCGAGTAGGCTGCTGGCAGGGTGGGTGACCTTGGACTCTGAGTGAAGGGCAGCAGGTATGGCTGGGTGTGGACTCTCACTCACCGTGGATCCTGGCGAAGCTCTTGGTGATGATGGCCCGGCCACCAAGGTGGCGAGGCTCCAGCGCTGCATGCTCCCGGCTGGAGCCCTCACCATAATTCTCATCTCCAATCACCACCCACCTGATGCCGTGTTTCTGCCAGGCAAGGGGAGCTTGTTGTGAGGCAGAGGAAGGCGTGCACCTCCCAGTAGCCCCTGGGCATACTGAGGCCCATGAGGAAAGGGCTGGAGGGGCTTTCCTCTTCTGCTCTGAAGGGCAGCTGAAGTCAGAGTGGACTGACTGGGTCCAACTAGGCCCTGAGGGGCAGCAGCAGGTGGACATGGGCCCTGCCTGCCTGTCTGCAGTGGACACAGAAGTCACAACACTGGGGCTCAGTGCAGAGTCAGAAAAATGGAGGTCAGAGTGGGGCAGAGCTGTGGTTGCAGTAGGCAGGGGAGACAAGGCTCTTGTACAGCTGGTGTGGGCTCTGGGGTGGAGTGAGCACCCACTGTGCCCTGCCCAGCCACCAAGGGGTGCCCAGAGATACTGATGGGCCAGGACTTGGGATTAGCCTTGGTTCTGTTCATTTCTCAAAGCAGAAAGAGTCAAAAAGCTTTGGACTCTGGCTCTGCCTCTAACCTTGGCAGCCCCTTGGTTCCTCTAACCTTGTCCCCAAACTCCTTGCTCCCTGGCTTCTGGCTGGGCCAGGCTGACCGTGGACCCTCATTGCCCATTCCCTTAAGGCCTACACAGCTCTTTTCTTCTCTGAGCCTCAGGCTCCTCTCTGATTTCCCAAGGCAGTTCCTCTTTCCTCCACAGTTTCTTCCAACACTCTTCTCAGAACTGGGTCAAACATCTGCCAACAGTGCTCCTCTCACTATCAGCTCCTGGGTGTGTGCACCCAGCTCTGCCCACCTGAGCTGCAGGGGCAGTGGCTGAAGGGCTTTCCTTCCTTCCAGATGGCAGTTCCCTCTGAGAAAGTGGTTGCCCGCCTCCCTGTTTCCATTCCCCATGTCTTCCCTGTGCCTGCCCTGCATGCCCTCAGGAGAGTGGTTCCCAACCATGCCCCTCACTGACTTTGCCCTACCTTGTAGTAGCGGGCAGTGTCAGGGACAGGACCAAACTCCTGGGTGACAGCGTTGCGCACGGAGTTGGCTTTGCCATTTTCAATGTTGATGGCACCGATGAGCAAGTTGTTAGAGATGTTGTCCAGGTGCCCACGAAACTTGAGCCAGGGGCCTGCAGCTGAGATGTGGTCTGTGGTACACTTCCCTTTGACCTTGGTGAGTGAGCAGAGGCGACAGAGGTCAGTATGGGGCCGGTGAATGGTAAAGGGAAGAAGCCGCCTTCCAGAGGCAGGTAGCAGGCAGGCCCAGGACCCAAGAGGAGTGACCAGGGAAGCAGTTTCTGGACATGTAGTCTGCAGTCCTGGTGCTACCAGGCTCAGGCAAGACAACCACCCCTCAACAACTTCTCTGTCCCTAGGACAGGATACTCCCTCATGGGACAGGACACTTAAAGGGAAGATAGGTGAATCTGCCCACTTCCCCTCCAGGGCCTAGGCCTCAATTAAGAACTGTCCAGGGTGGAAGATTAAACAGACTTCACGTTAGACACAGAGAGCCTGGGACACTGGATTCCTGGCTATTGGCTGATCCATCTCACGTCACATGGACTCAATACTGGCTGTGTCACAGGGGTACAAGACCCCTTAGTAAACACATAAATTAATGTCAGACATGGGTTTGAGGTCCCTGGCCACACATAAAGGCTCAGCTCAGCTCCCAAACATAGGCCACACCACTAGTGCTCAGCAGGGGTCAGGAGGAATCCACAGCTTCAGGAGCCTGGTCAATGAAGCCAGAGATGTGGAAACCCACTGTATAGTCATACATGTCCGATGAGTGAGCCCCGGACAGCAGCTAGTCAGATCCAGCCCTACTCGGCTTGGGCCATAGAGAAGGGGAAGCCCAGGCTACAATGCCCTTCCTCCTCTGCAGTGACCTCCCTCCCTGTCCCACCTTCATCTTGACCATCCACCCTTGCTCCCAATGGGTTCCTAATCTTTCCTGATGCTCAGGGAACTGGGGGCCCCAGCAGTTCTGCCAGTCCTCTTGCTGCTGACCTTGATAAGGATCTGCAGGTCCTCTAGGTCTTTGCCGTCCCACTTGTCAAAAGGCTCCAGGAGCTGCAGGCGCTGGCTGGTAGGGCTCACATCTACCCGCTGCCCACTACTATCCTTGGGGGGATGCTGGTAGGTGTCCTGTCCTGGGTCAAACTCCTGTAGCAGGGGACAGAGAATGCTGAGTGCTGGATCTTCATTCCCCATAGAGAAAGCTCTCAGAGCAAGTAAGCTTTCCCCTGCCCCAAGCCACTTCCTCCCAGAGAATGTAGCTGCTTCATTTTCACTAACATTGTCACCCCTGCCTGCACAA